GACGGAAATAAGTACGTGAAGTATTTACCTCGTGTTTCAAAAAATGTGCAGGGAGGACTTAAACATCGCCATATTGGCATCGAACCTATCATTCATTGTGAACAACTAGAAAACCCGAACTGTCTTGTGAAACTGTATGACAAGTACTTGTCACTGATTCCGAGAAAAGGACCCCTGTACCGGAAACCGCTTGACCCAAAACATGGCCTCCCGAGATTCAGTGTTAGTTGTATTCCAAATAATTAACTGTCCGGGTTGTACAAGACATTCTATGACGAAGCAGGGATAAATACAGATGGAAGAAATATCTCGAACCACTCCGGTCGCGTTACATGTTGTACAACATTGTACAACAGTGGATTTACCGACAAGGCCGTTACAAGCCGGAGTAAACATCGCAGTAACGCCGTGAGAATTTACCAACGTGAACAGTTTGGTATCCTACAAGATATCAGCAACAAGCCCGGTCCCCCGTGTCCTACTGAAAACTTGCAGCCAAACAACAAAAAACAGCGAAACTGGCACGTCCCGGAGTTTCGACAATAAAAATATCGATGGTCGAATCTCCATGTACTGCTAAAAACTCTGTTGAAAATACCTCTAGCATTGTTCTCTCAATACCCGAATGTGTTAAAAGTGTGGTTATTTTCAAGGGTGAGAAAAAGGTAACCATTGACATTTAAAGAAAGTAAACATGACTTTTTGTGTTCATTTATTATCAGGGGCGGTCGGGTAGCCTAGTGGTTAAAGCGTTCGCTCGTCACGCCGAAGACCCGGGTTCGATTTCCGACATGGGTACAATGTGTGAAGCCCATTTCTGGTGTCCCCCGCCGTGATATTGGTGGAATATTGCTAAAAGCTGCGTAAAACAATACTCACTCACTCATTTATTATCAACAGGCCTCATGTGATGTCATTAAACATATGAAAACATTGTTGTCGTTTTCCTTTGACCAATGAAAGCCTGTGTGGGCGTGTCATGAAGAGGCATTTAGCCTTGAGTTCTTAATCATTTAGTGTCTATTTTGTCAGAAAAATCCGGGTTGAGTTCTAATTACTGTTGGAGATCGAACTTTTGGAAAAATTATTTTCCCAGGTTTTCGGTGGGAAAATATTAGAATATGTTAAGGTCCTCGGATTCATCAGTACACCAAGGAAGGCAAACTTAAAAACGTTCGTTCCGGTTTGAGGACCCAAATACTGCAGTCTACCCCATAAGTTCTCATACCAGAATAGGCTTACTGAACTATGACTTAGATACGCGTATAATGCTTGTTGTTTAACACTGCACTCCAATATTCAAACAATGTGATGGCAGCAAGAAAATAAATAAGTCTGGACCAGACAAACCATTGATTGATATTGTGAGCAATCGTCAGCCATGAAGCCGGGTATGATGACACACATCCATCACGTCAACCAAATCTATTTGGTCACATCCTAGGGCAAGTTCACTTAAAAGGGAAGTGTACACGCAGAAAAAAACTTTCTTTCTTTTTTGCTCAGAAAATATAACTTTCTCACAGTGAAAGTAGGAAACCAACAATAAGTTTGAAAATGACCTTGTTATGCCTCATAGGCCTTCGTTTTCCGAGTCAAACCATTCGTGACCAACTCGTGTTATCCCGGGACAAGCCGGAAAAGGGCGAGTGGTGTCGAATGGAGCCAAACAGGCCTGAGTAGGGGGTATATATTTATATTTACTTACCAATATCGAGTTCCTCATTTGTCACCACTCGCCCCTTTCAGTAACCTTCTATTCGGCTTGTCTCGGAATAACAGGAGTTGGTCATGAATGTCGAGTTCCTGTGCTTCGTAGCAGTAGGGCTGCGGTCACGTGACTTTGTAGATAGTTTAAATGATCAACGTAAATAATACAACTCTTTTTCTTTCTGTGACTCTTTTAAAAAGGCATTCCGTGGCGGTATATTACATGTCAATTAGGAGTTCAATAATGACATTTCTTCAATTCCAAATCTAGTCACACACGTTGATGCATTGGGCAGAAAACCTCCTCTGAATTTCGTCAATTTTCTGGCCGAATCCAACTACAATTTGACCACACAATGCGTCACTGACAGCAGTCACAGAACCAAGGCAGAAATCAAGTACATGTGGTATGTCGTCATCATCGCCAGTTCTGACGTCATACGTTTCAAGACGTCTGTGACGTCAAAGTCCATTGGGCTACGTTTTACTACTTTCTATAGACATATACCTACACAAATAGTATCGTGAATGTGCTTTTTTATTGAACAAATGCTCAAACAAGGTGAGCGCCGACAAAAACATGTAGATCATGCAAGCACTGGCTGAATTGTGTCCCTTTTATCTGTCGCAAAATCACAAGGAGATTTGAAGACATCCGCAACTCACTGTATCATCCCACAGAGTAAACTCTGCAGCAAGTCTTTTCCCAACACCAGTGGTCACGAATGGACAAGCCACAATTTGTATATTTGTTCCCATAGCCTAGCAACAATTAAATTTACTATGTCCTATTCCTTTCGCGAACATATCACTGTGTTTTACTTAGGATATTTAGGATACAGACCTGTGAAAATCCGGTAGAGAATAGGTCAACCCATGCTTGCCCTAAAAGGCGACAATGCTTGTCGTGAGAGGCGACTAACGGGATCGGGTTGTCAGGCTCGCTGACTTGGTTGATGCATGCCATCGATCATGATATCAATCACTGGTTTGTCTGGTCCAAACCTTCCAACATGTTGAGGTTGATTGCTTGGTTTGTTGTTTTACGCCGCACTCAGCAATATTCCAGCTATATGACGGCGGTCTGTAAATAATCGAGTCTGGACTAGACAATCCAGTGATTAATATCATTAGGATCGATCCACGCAATTGGGATCGATGACATGCATCAACCAAGTCAGCAAGCCTGACCACCCGATCCCATTAGTCGCCTTTTACGACAAGCATGGGTTGCTGAAGTTCTATTCTACCCCTGAATCTTTACGGGTCACACGTTGAGGTAAAACTAGGAAAATTAATAGGGTCCGCTGTCCAATGGTACCTATGTGGTAATGCCAGCTTTCCAAATCCTGAGGCAAAGAAATACAACATTGTCGGAAACTAAGCAGAAACCCTAGACATTCAAAGATGGTCTCTCATTCACTCTCAACAGTAAAGCTGTTTTTGTTTTCTCTTGGCCGATGACCCAAGAAATATTGACCCGGAAGTAGTCATAACGCCACCCATTCCATTTGTCGACTCAGCTTTCCTGGACCGACATGGCTATACAAAGACGACATGGCACAAAACCATGGCCCACGTACCTCCACGTGGCACATCATTGCAATCCATCACTCAAGACGTCAACACCAAACCCTAGAGGCACCAAGTCTGCCTCTGGTATGTATTTTAAAAGGGCACTCCCCCCCCAACACCCCCCCCCCCCCCCCAACACCCCCCCCCCTCCCCCCTCAAACAAACTCCGCCTAGCGACAGCTTCCTAAACACCACAAAGGGACCAATCGTATTCGTCTGTATCCCCAAGTAGTTAAAACCTTGCGTCAATCTTCACGCGCAGCGCGTTCTTTGTTGCTTTAAAAGAAGCTTTCCAAGTCACGCATTCTTTAAAACAATCTATAAAAAAACAAAACTATCGTTCGCTGTTGACCCTCTCCACTTTCAGTCATAATCAAAGCTTCCTTTTCAAACACAAATTACTTACAAATATCTTAAATTCAGCTTTCTTTCATTCCAGTCCATTCTTTCTCTCTTTTTTTCATTTTTTATATATTGTGTTACATTTGTAAAACTAATTTTGTTTCTCATTGTCATTTTTATTTTCTGCATGTGTGTTGTGTATTTGTTTCTTGTTTTACTTGCTTTAGACGTTTTTGCCGTTAAATGCAGCATCAACACTCTTTTGAAACAAGTCACAAATATTATAACACTTCTTCTACTCTTTTGGGAATCTTTATTTCTTTATATCTATCTTCACATGTGTTCTCTTTTTCTGTAAAACAAATTAATGCAAACTTGAGTTTGTCTTCTATATTTTCTGTGCGACCGTTATTACTTTTGGGTTGTGACCGTTTTGACTCTACCTCTTGAAGCCGTTTTGACTACAGCTCCTTGTAGACTCGCCGATCGTTGCGATAGAATTGTTTTTATAAAATCCTTGAACTTATCAGCAGACATAATTCATTACAGCCTTGGAGTCTTGCATCTAAAAATATACCCAAGACACATTTAAATGTGTTCAAACATACTGTATAATCTCGCATGTCTAGGTGTGCTTTGAGTTGCATCTGAAATATATATAATATACGGGTAAATATACGTGAACCATTGTGCAACGAGTTGACAATTGATTTAGGTATGCCCGTTTGCGCTAAGACGGAACCCGGTCGCAAAATGGCCACGAGAGGGGCACGAGTCGCTATTCGGCTTGTCCCGGAATAACACGAGCTGGTCACGAATGCGAAACACACTGTTCGGCCATTCGGCACCGCTCGCCCATTTCCGTAACCCGGAAGCAAGCGGCAAAGAGCAAGCACCAATCACAAGCGAGTTTACGAATGGAAAAGGTGTTTGCCTCCATCACATGGTCATTGAATATTGTGGCAGGCATCACCACACACACGCGTGCTCGCTCGGTCTTGTCGCATCTCCATCGCAGGTCAGGACTGTTAGGCACATCATGCATCTGCAGGTTAGTCCATTTATATCTTTCACTCGACATTCTTTTTTCTTGCTCACGCCAGAGACCATATAATGGTCTCTCAGCAATGCTCATGGCAAGAGGAGGTAACTCTTCCTGCACTTATTCTCAAAGCTAGTTTACCACACCTCGGAGGGTCGGTTCCAAATCCATCTCTTAACTCCTTGATTAACGCAGAAAGCGGGAAAATGAGCGTACATCACAAACTAGGGTAAAGGTTGCGTGCGTATTTCATAAGCTGCTATTTTTAGAATATTCTTGAAACTATCAATTTCAGCCGAATACGCGGTTTTTAATGAGTGTATTCTCTTCTGCAATCATTTGTTGTAATTTCCAGTGTGTTTTAGGTTTAATTTATAAGGGACAATATATAAAAAAATAATTAAATCGGACCCCACCCTATTTCTATTAGCGGTATGCAGATTTTACATAACTACGCAGTTACTTCCCTTCGGACAAACACGATCGAATTTACTACAGTATTTTTTTAACAATCCAGCAACAATCCTCGCAATTTGAAGCAGTATATGTAAGTATGTTGTAAAGGAGAATATATTTATGATATTGGGGTATTTTGTGCACTGTAAATTTCGCGATGACAAACTATGATATGTGTTTAAAGTTTCACAACAAACTTTGTCCGGCTGAACCATTTCAGTTTTTTCACATTGTCAATGTCACGTGTTTGTGACTAAAACATGTTTATTATCACTAAAGAACATAGTTTCAACGTAGTTAGCAGGATCAATTATGTTGTTATGTGTTACAACAAATAACTCAATTTATGTTTTAATTAAAGTAAAGTACAGTGTGCTTGTATGAAATATTGTACAGCAATGATTCATGGGGGGTGGGATGGGGCAGATAGGGTGATTGTAATAATCTTCCCACCACACCCCACCCCATGCTCTATTTAATGTATATAATTGTGTTATATTTAGTGCACAGTCTGTTATATATATATCAAAAATTGTCAACTTATTTGATTGTGGCAATTTTCATTTTAGTAATGGTTTATTACTGAGAGATTGTGAATCTGTAACATCAACCTATTCTCAATGTTTGTCAGAAAATGATAAGGTTGCACAGTGGCTTCATGATCATTTTGAGTGTGAACTTTGTGAGCAAAAAAACTTCTTCAAGAGAAAAATTGATTTGAAAAAAGATTACAATATTCACTCATTACGGGATAAATGACTTCGATAGGTGTTGAGAATTAACTGTTACTTGCAAGCTCCTCACAGCGATAGTACGTTCCCGCAGCTCTGTTACCGAGAGTGTAACGAAGGTGACACGCGCTGGGAAGGAGCTTGTGTTACTTGAATGAAAGGGAGGTAACTCTTGTATCTGTCTGTTACAGTTGGCTTATTCACTCACCTTAAAAAAATACAAAATCAGATTTTAGTACCGAAATAATGTAATTAATATTTTCATTAAATATGTTTTCACCTCAGTACACAAAAAGGATTAGTTTGAATAATGCTATAGCATTGTCTTAGAATAATGGAAGGCTCTGCACACACAAGTCCATGGTCCACCACTGTATGGAGCTCAGGGGCGTCTGCTACACCAAAATATGATATTTCCTTACAACTATAAATGAATGACTTGGTCGTCATTACAGGTTCTACTGCACTAAATCAGAACCGGTTGGGACAGTGTGGTTTTTCAGCCTTCAGTGCAGATCGAGAGTCATCTGCAGGCTGTGATTGGATGGTATTGTGTAAGATTTTTATGTCTTTTAAATGTACATCCATCCAGTAATTAAAACTGACCATATTTTTCAATATTTAATTTGGTGCTGACCTTTTCAACAAGTTGACTTGTGCTTTATGTGAGCATAGCTATTTTCAAGTAGGTGACATTTGGTGCGAAACTGGGGTGGTGTGTTTAGCTTCCTCTACTTAGCAAAGGAGCTGGCTAAGCTGGTCATTTTTTATGTTTTTATTGCTACTCTAAGGCCAAACTGTGCACACACGTACAGGTTATAGCTGTTGAATTCTTAGTTATTTTTAAAAGAAATATAACTTTACTATAGAAGTCAATGGAAAACATTTGATTGTGTGTAACCTGTAGGGTGAGTGCACATTTCAGTAATTCCTACTTTACATGCTTTTCTGTTTATATTTCACCATGGATACACCTTGGAGGCAAATGTAAAAATAATGACAGTGAAGTTGGGGACATTTTGGGTTGAATGGAGCATTTGGATGGCCTGGAAATGAATGTTGCTTCGTATTGTGGTCGAACTCAGGACGAACCCCCCAGGGTACCTCTGTCCAACAAGCCCTCCTCCTGCCTTCTGAATTTGTTGAAACTGATGAATTTGACAACAAATTAGGATAAAGTCACCACTGCCACAACAATTTCTGCCTTGTGTCAATCGCTTGCCAGTCAAGTTACGCAATGCCGTTATCTTTAGTATGAAGCATGTACACTGCTGACAGCAGAATATGTCACACATCCCCTTATTTATAGTAAACAATGTAGCATACCAATATATCTTTCTGTTAGGTGCTTTTGTGTGAATGAAAGATTTTTCTATTAAGTTTCCTAAAACAGACTTATTTTTCACTCATATGACTTTCAAATATTTATTTTGTCCCCTCAAGAACTGACTCCTGGCTGTTATATCCAAACTGGTTTGCCATTTGATATTGTCTGTACCCTTTTTTTCAGCTTTTAGCATGCCTGATGTTGACTGGGGAGGTATATGTGCACTCATGCAGAAGAAGTAGAAGTTTTCACATCCAATTTGGCATTTAGAGAAGCTGATCCGAAGTCCGGTGTTGGCAGTGTGTGATCGACAACCCTTGTTTTGCCTCGCTGCGCTCTATTACCTTGTAGACATTGTGGAACTTGGACATGTAGGTACATTAAGTACATTAAAGAAGCCCAGTCCACTTGAGTCCCCTCTGTTGCTCACTATCAAGTCTGTAATAAGATCACACTCATGCACTGGACATTTCTGACAGTGCTCCCTTAATGCCTCACTGTGCATAGAGTAAGGGCTATACACCAGTCCCAGAACCTGCTTAGATGAAAATAATATCCACTGGCTCTTTTGGAATGTAACATTATGGTTCTGAAATCATCTGTAAAGAATGTGATAGTGTTCGACAATACTAAATTATCTCCCCTGTTTAGTAAAATGCATTTTATCTTTCATTCCCCTATAAACCCATAAATTATTGGAGAGAAACACTATTTTAAGCTGGTATTGCATGACACTGTTAATTGTGAATAAGAAGAATTACATTTATGTCAGGATAAGCTGTACATTTTCAAAATTATATGGACTTTTAACTTTGTTTCATTGAAACTGGCAAATAACTGAAATTAGCAAGTTAAGCCACCTTGAAACATTAAACAGTAAGTATGTTTGATGTCCTGTGAGTATTTTAAAGTCTTAACTAAATAAATCAATTGAGTTAAGTGTAATTTCCTTCCATGTTGTGGTTTCAAAGAGCTTTCTTCTACTTGAGGGTCCATTTCCATTTCTTGGCTTTAATAGGCCGTGTGGTTCACTGGTCAGCCTTTGAGATTGCTGGCAACAATGCACCCCTTTACTTCCTATTTTCTGGTAAAGTTCATTATCCAGCCTTACATATATGATGTCTTTAAAGCTGCTTAATGTGTCCCTTGCTTATTGTTGGCCTGAATTCCATGCTCTGTCCAATTTTGAGATTTTTTTCTGATTCCTTTCCATGTGTACTTATGTCACCAGCCTATATCATAGGTGATTAAACTTTTGATTTTTGGAGTAAATGAAAGCACAAACCATTGTGATAGCCCCTCCATAGATGATTTACCAAATGCTGACAGCCATTTGAGTGTTTAATTATATAAACAATGGATGGTGTAAGTTCGAGCAATCTCAAACAATATCAATCGCATCAAAAACCAGTGTCAAAACCATATTCCATGAATGTAGCAGACTCTGCTATGTTCTGATGATGTCAGCAAAGTAAGGCAAACAACAGACCACTACTCAATTTTAAATATGTATTGTTACTGCTTTTGAGGTTTAAAGATTTGTTCAATTTATTTAGTCGAAAAAATATTTTTGGGTGATATGATCTATGCAGCCTCAATCATTTATAGAGTTGACCCTTGACCCCTTTCTTTTATGAAATATGAATTAACTCCCATGGTCAGTGCATGGAGGTAGAAACTTCTTTATTAATACAGAAATACTTTTTGTAAAACATTGATGAAGTGTACATCATTAAACTCTCACAACTCTTTCTGTGCATCAAAACTATGTATTCTGGTGCCATATAGACATGCTGGATAGGAACAAGTGGTAGAGTTTAATCCAATTTCCAATTTTCCATTTTTTTCAAAGAAGCTATATATATATACAATACATAAATCACAGATTTGACAAGTGCAAATGTATTCTGATTTGTCTACAGGTTCTACTACACCAAATCAGAACCAGTTTGGACAGTGCGGTTTTCGTAGGGAGCCTTGAGTGCAGATCGAGAGATATCTGCAGGCTGTGATTGGAGGATATTCTGTAAGATTTTTATGTCTTTCAAATGTACATCCATCCAGTTATTAAAACTGACCATGTTTTTCTATATTTAGTACTGTCTTTTCCAACATGATGAGTAGGTAGGTGACATTTGGTGCGAAAGTGGGGGTGGTGTGTTTAGCTTCCTGTACTCAGAAAAGGAGCTGGCTAAGCTGGTCATTTTTTATGTTTTTATTGCCACACTAAGGCCAAACTGTGCACACACGTACAGGTTATAGCTGTTGAATTCTTAGTTATTTAAAAAAAAATATTACGTTACTACAGAAGTCTATGGGAAAACATTTGGTTGTGTGTAACCTGTACCATAAAGGACATCTGTTCCTGTCTGTTGTCAGACTCTGTACCATCAAGGACATCTGTTCCTGCCTGTTGTCAGTCTCTGTACCATCAAGGACATCTGTTCCTGCCTGTTGTCAGACTCTGTACCATCAAGGACATGTGTTCCTGCCTGTTGTCAGACTCTGTACCATCAAGGACATTGGTTACTGCCTGTTGTCAGACTCTGTACCATCAAGGACATGTGTTCCTGCCTGTTGTCAGACTCTGTACCATCAAGGACATTGGTTACTGCCTGTTGTCAGACACTGTACCATCAAGGACATGTGTTTATGCCTGTTGTCAGACTCTGTACCATCAAGGACATTTGTTGCTGTCTGTTGTCAGACTCTGTCTGGGCCGGCCAATCCAGTGATCGACATCATGAGTATCGATCCACGCAATTGGAATATGATGATATACATCAACTAAGTCAGCGAGCCTGACTACCCAATCCCGTTAGTCGCCTCTTACGACAAGCATAGTCGCCTTTTACAGCAAGCATTGTTGCCTTTTACAGCAAGCATGGGTTGCTGAAGACCTAGTCTACACCGGGTAGCCTAGTGGTTAAAGCGTTTGCCCTTCACGCCGAAGACCAAGGTTCGATTCCCAACATGGGTTCAATGTGTGAAGCCCATTTCTGGTGTCCCCCTCCGTGATATTGCTGGAATATT